CGCCATCAACAAGGAAAGTGAGGGCCACGAGGTCCGCCGGCTCGACGCCCGCGTCGCCCGCGCCCGCCCCCTCACTCTTATCCGCAATTGCGGGGTGCTGCGTATATATAGGCCCCCGCAGATGCGGATAAGAGTGAGGGGGCCGTGGGGACGTGGGCAGTTTGCGAGACTCTGGGGAAGCCCGCCGCAGGCGCCAACATTTCACAACTTATACAAAGAGCCCGCCGCAAGCGCCGACTTCTTCGTTTGATTCATGTGGGTAGGTCGCGGGTGGGTCGCAAACGGGTCGCGGGTGGGTCGCGGGTGGGTCTCGGATGGGTCGCTGTTGGGTCGCGCGTGGGTCGCGGGTGTAGAAGGCAGATAATCCACCCCATAATAATCACTGCGGCAAGCGAAGCCGTTTATCAACGCACACAAGGAATGAACCGAACATGGCAAGGCTGTTTCGTAAACGCCCAAGGCCGCGTAATAAACGTCAATTGTCGGGTCCGGGTGGTTTATCCTCCTTTGAGGGTGGGTTGTGGGGTGGGTCGCGGGTGGGTCGCGGTGTGGGTCGCGGGTGGGTCGCGGATGGGTCGCGGATGGGTCGCGGGGTGGGTCGCGGGTTGGTCGCGGGGTGGGTCGCGGGTGGGTCGCGGGGTGGGTCGCGGGTGGGTCGCGGGTTGGCTCGCGGGTGGGTCGCGGGGGATGGTCGCGGGGTGGGTCGCGGGGTGGGTCGCGGGGTGGGTCGAGGGGTGGGTCGCGGGTGGGTCGCGGGTGGGACGACTAGAACAAACAACAACATCAACAACAATTACAACAACAACAACAACAACAGCACCAACAACAACAACAACAACAACAACACCATCAACAACAACACCAGCAACAACAACAACAACAGCAACACAAACAGCAACAGCAGCAACAACAGCAACAACAACAATCATCTTACCCTCATGCGCGATGTTTCCACAATCGACATGCGACCATAATGACCGTCCCTATCATGGGGGATTATTGATCGTTCTATGGCGGGGCCCGTTATTCCCATTCCCAGATCTCCGCCCAATGGGGTCATTCTCCGAGGAATTTCAACCTATTCCGCCTCGAAAGCGCATGCCCGCGCCTTGCTGCGCCGATGCGAGGCCGCCAGCGGAGCCCCAGCCAAGGGTAAAGCACAAGGAAGTATCGAGCGACAGGATTGCCTTCGTGGGGATTGGGGCTGTCGGCGGCGAGGCAAAGACCTGGCCCTGAATTGAAAAGGGAGGAAGTCTCGAGCAGGGCCGCTGTTGTTGCTGGGAGCGGCGCCAATGCAGAAGAGAGTAGGGCGCTAGTCCAGCGTAAAACAAAAAGAAGTCTAGAGCGAGAGCGCTGGTTTTGTTGGGACGGCGTTTGTCAGTGGCGAAGAGGGACACCGCCTTGAGTACGAAGGGGGGAGTCTCGAGCGGGAGCCGTGGTTTTGTCGGGATGGGGCTGTCGGCGGCACGGGAGGAGCGCTGGTTTTGTCGGGGCGGCAGTTTTCGGCGGCAAGGAGGAACACCGCCTTTAGTAAGAAAGGGAGGAAGTCTCGAGCGGGAGCGTTGTTGTTGCTGGGGGCGGCGCCGATGAGAGAAAGAGCAGCGCGCCAGTCTCGAGCGATAGCGCTGGTTTGGTTGGGACGGCGGCTTTCGGCGGCGAGCAAGAGCATCGGCCCTGAGTAAAAAAGGAGGAAGTCTCAAACGGGAGCGTTGTTGTTGGGGGGCTGGTTTTGCCCCCCAAACCGCTCGAGTATGAGCCTCATTTTCAATGAACTAATAGCCGGCGCCAAAGCGAGAGCGCCAAAGCGCCTTTGGGGGCCCAGCGATAATAATGATAATGCAAAACATGTTGAGTAATTAACACTCAACAACAGCAACAACAACACCAACATAAACAATCATTTTAAGACTGTTCGCTCCTATCTGCTCACGTGCTAATAAATACGTGTATACCAAACCCTTGGTGCCCGCCCTCGTCGTCTTCGATCGTACCCCCTTGGGGCTATATCTTCCTTGCCTGACACGCGTATTTATCGCAGCCCGTAAAACACGGGAAGAGAGGACGGGTGGAAAGGGGGAGGGAGAATAATGGAGCACGATCGAAATTAGCAGGAGGGCAAGGAGCAGAAAACAAGTGGTAGAACCAGACGGGCATATCGGGTGGGCAGACCCATAGCGGGCAAGTCGGGAAGGCGGGCTCAGGCGACGAGGTTGAGCAGGCGGGTTGCTAAAGCGTGGGCCCTGCATGAATCGCGAGGAAATCTCGAGCGATAGCGCGATTCCTAAGGAAATCATGAGAAAAGCCAGCGTGTGCCACGAAGGGCATAAAATCCGAGGCCACAGAGGGGAGCGACGCGGCCGCTGAGGGCAGCACCAGGACCACGAAGAACAGCGAGGGGCCACAAAGGGCGACAGCGGGGCCACGAAGGGCATGCATATGGGGCCACGACGGGCGCGAGCGAGCGGGGGCCACGAAGGGCATTCGTATACGGGGTCACAAA